CGGGCCAACCCCCAGCCCGAGTGTCTGTCTCTCTCCGTCACTGAGGGTCCAGCCCATGGGGGACCAGGTGCCAGGGAAGACTTGGATGTGACGCCTTGAGTTTGGGGGCGCGGGGGCAGGTGAGAGGGTCTCCTAGCGCCTCCCCCCCCACATACTTGGCGTAGGCCTTCTCCAGCAGCGCGCTCCAGAACTCGCTGCCCTCGCCGGAGCGCAGGAAGAGCAGCTGCCCGTCCCGCGTGGGCAGCCTGTCGTCCACCACCACCTGCACCCACTCGCCGCGCTGCCAGAACTGCGGGGGGAACACGGCGCCGCTCAGGGGGACCCCGGAGGAGCCTCTGGGAGGCTCAGTGCTCAGGTCTCGGGCCTTTAGTGGACTCCAAGCTCCTAAAGAGCAGGATTGGGGTCTCACTCATCCATAAACATAGGACAGTGATGGCGAACCTATGACACGCGTGTCAGAGGTGACACACGAACTCATTTTTTTGGTTGATTTTTCTTTGTTCAATGGCATTTAAATACATAAAATAAATATTAAAACTATAAGTCTTTGTTTTACTATGGTGGCAAAGATCAAAAAATGTCTATATGTGACACGGCACCAGAGTTCAGTTAGGGTTTTTCAAAATGCAGACACGCCGAGCTCAAAAGGTGCGCCATCACTGACATAGGAGATGTTCAAGGAGTCGGGAAGCATCGAGCCCCGTGTCTGCATCTGTGGTGACCCTGTGTGACTCGGACCCATGTCTCCTGACACTCCCACCCCCCCACCCCCGCCCCTGCACTTTCCTCAAGGCCCTGAGGCCTGGGGGAGGCGGTGGGAGTGGATGTGTAGGTGACCAGATGGATCGCAAGCTCCAGGGTGTGTCAGAGCCACCTGGAGGGGCCATGAAAACATGGGCCCCGGGACCCGACCCCAGAGCTTCCGATTCCGTGGATCTGGGCGGGACCATGGAAAGGAGCGTCGAGGGCAGCGAGCAACGCGCAGGACCTGGAAACGGAAGATGCCCGCGTAGCTCTCCTGGAAGCTCTGGTCCCTGGGCACCACCCGGTGAAGCAGCTCTTCATTCAAGGTGAGGGACGCGATGGCCGCCAGGAGCCAGCAGTCGCCTGCACCGGATCATGGGGGAACACACTGGTCAGGCCAGGCCGGCAGGGTCCCGCCTTCTCTCCCTTCCACGTCCGACTCTCTCCTTCCCCCCACGTCTCAAGATCACGGGCTGCACCGTCAGCTCCTGCTGCCGCGCTGGGAGTCGTGTACGCAGATAGAAACGTCTCTGGTCCTCCCGATCGATCGCCCCTGCGTGCTGACCATTGCACATCTCAGAGCGCTCGGCCCGTGGGAAGCCATGGAAAGAACAAAAGCCAAAATGTCTTTTGGGGACTGAAAGGTCCCAGGCTTGATTCCTGGTTAGGGCACATGCCTGGGTTGCGGGCTCGACCCCCAGTATGGGGCATGCAGGAGGCAGCAGATCAATGATTCTGTCCCATCATTGGTGTTTCTCTCTCTCCTCTCCCTGCCTCTATGAAATCAATATATATATATATTTTTTTTTTTAAATGTCTTGTTTGGCCCTAACCAGTCTGGCTCAGTGGATAGAGCATCAGCCTGCGGACTGAAGGGTCCCAGGTTCGATTCCAGTCAAGGGCATATACCTTGGTTGCGGGCACATCCCCAGGAGGTGTGCAGGAG